GAAAGACACAGTTTTTTTACTGATCAGAAAATGGATATTTCTGAAGTCAGAGAATGCCATAACTAACACAAAACATGTTAGAAAGTGCTGTTTCATTAAAGGAAGATCCAATCTCATGGTTTTGTGTCTGTTTTTCTGGAGCCTTTGTGCTTTCAGTTACACTGGGAAGGGAAACTGTGAAAATACACTCAAAGCTGCTTCATTTTTCTCCCAAAGTGTATCAAAATTGTAGTTACATTTTTTTCTTGATTCATTGAGTTTAATATGATTTTAAATGAAGTAATTAATTAGATACTGCAGAAGAAGGTAAAGTGGTTTACCAGACTCGTTTGAAAGAAAAACTCAATATTACTACTGGTTGTTAGTTAGCATGCTGCTCAAGGATGGGGGTGGGAAGCCTTATAAACTCTAAATTAAATAAGGTTCCTGTGGCAAAATAAAATCGTTTTTTAATTCTGATCAGCAGTATGTAAAAGAGAAATGGGGGAGATGATTGGTAAGTGAGGGAACAGAACTGAAATAAGTAATCTGATTGCTTTGACACATGTTATTATTCACTGTACTCATGAAGAAAAAGAAGAGTATTTGAACAGAAACAGATACATGTTCTTGTTACTGAAGGCAGCTCTGTATGTTGAAATGATTTTAAATCATGTGAGCAAGAAAACAAAGACAAGACAACTTTGCTGGCAATATATTGATACTGCAACTTTCAGTGGAACTGCTGGAATCTACAGATCTGTCACAGTATTAGGCTGGAATTATTAAGACTTTGAAGGTGAAAATAGGGAAAAAAACCCCTTTTTTTCTATTCTATTTTTCTGAAAAAATAGAAAAAACTTTCAGTTTATAAAACTGAAAGTCAAATCTAAAGAAAAGCAGTAATACCTTCAGATTGGGAGTAATTTTGTCCCTTTTTGTTCCTAGATGAAAATGTGAGAATGTTCCATATAAGTAGCTTCTAAGTAATCTATAATGTAAGTATCTCAGTGGTATTGTAGTTCTTCTTCACAATAAACATTGGAGCCCTACGACACCATGCTTGAAAAGAAAACAAACAAGTTTTGGGCTACATTAAAATCATCTGAAAGACAGGTAATTATCACCTGAATATGAAAAGAGGATCACGAGATAAGTGCAATATACATGTGTGATGTGAACCTACAATGTTTAGCATTTGTTATAACTATTCCATTTATAAAAATATTTTTCTAAAGTTTATTCTGATTATAAAAATTTATTATTATGATACCCCTACTTTTACCCTATTTTCACACCTTTATTTGCAAAAAAAAAAAAAAAAGTAAGGTAGTCAGCCCAAAATTCTATGCTTGTTGACTTGTGCAGAAAATATTTTAAATGGTTTTAGATTCCTTCTGTCCTACAGGGTTTGTTGGGTTTTTTTGTTGGTTGGTTGATTTTGTATACATTCTGTTGTTCTTTAAGTGATATTTCATGACTAAAAGTAGAATAATAATCCACAGTATAGTCCATGTAAAGCATTAGAAAGAGTTTTATTATTGCTAAAAATCGATGCATGAGAAAAAGAGTAAAAACACCAAGGTCACTAACTGTGCTTTATTGGTATATAGTCCCAGATTCTTGTCAAAATAACCTTTATTGTTCCTGTACCTTAAACATATAATATGCATATACTGGATGACCAGTATCCCTTTTAAAAACCCCAGTATTCAAAAATCTGAGACCCAGCAAAATGAGAGAGAGCAAGGAAAGTGTGTTACTTGCATTGCATATCTGCTTGTGCAGATATGGGGGATGGGGGAAATAATGAAATTGTGATAATGTGTTGTTTCCTCTCTACTAACATTGTCTGTGTGTTCATCTTAAGAAATGTCATTAGTTGATGTTGGTTTCTGGTTCTTATTTATAAAAATAACTTGGACACTGCCTGTCTTTTCAGAAAAAGTTAATTACTTAGGGGTATTTTAATAACAAGCTTGAAATAACTAACTTAGAAAAAATATTGATTTATTTAAGGAAAATCTTCCATCCTGGCATACTTACGTGTACAAGCATATATGGTTTTACAGTATTTAACTCAGTCCTGCAGCAGCATCTTAATTTATTCTTCATCAGATGTTCACATGGTTTTCCTGATAAATATATAAAAAGTGTCTCCTTTTTATCTCCTACATAATGTGGTATTTTTACAGCTTTTTAAAACAGAAAACTGAAAATTGGTTTTTAGAGTCATATGCATATATTTTTTTATTGGCTTACATCAGTATAGGATCTGAATTTCTCTCTATCTCATCTCCCTGAACTTGTTTCTTTAAGTGCTGCAAACTAAGGACTATCTATCACTGTATGGCAAACCTGAGAGAAGTACAGGAATAAGCTAGGAGTGTGACGTGTAAAGTGTGAGTACAGGAATAAAATAGGAGTGTGACATTGCTGTCAGACTCCTGGAAGGTCTTTTCATGCTAATTTGGAAAGAAAATAATTTTTTTTTTCAGAAATAATTAGAATGTATCCTCTGTGGACCTGTGAGCATGTTTGAAAGCAATAGTGCTACTGCACGTGGAACAATATTATAAGATAGTACAGTTGCCCAAGTTCAGAGAGGGTTTTTGAGTGGCTGGTTACAGTGTGATTTTGGCAACATTATTGGTATGGAATAAAGGACTGGAGTATCAGAACACTGAAGAAAAGATTGGGGAAAGAAAAGTTTTTGTATTGGTCAAAGGGTATTTTAAAGGGATGTTGGACTAAGCTGAGGGAACATAATTAGGGATATGAAGCTGTGTTAAGGGAAGAAATTCTGGGTAGGTATTTAAATAGGTATTTTAGGGACTGAAATAGTCTGCTGGAGGTGATAAAAGAGAAGGAGCTTTTGGACTCCTTATTTTCCACTGTAACATGTAGACATGGAGAGGCCTGCTTTGCCTTCTGCTCTGTACTGCATAGAGGTGAGCTGGGAACCATGCTGCTTCTTTATTTCAAAAACTTATTATTCATACCATGTGACTCATGCCAGCTGTAGGAATTGAAGGGATTACCATTGGAGCAGCATGAATTCCCTTGTCCTGTGTCTGTGTTTTGAAATACTACATATTTTTGGGTTTTAGAGATCTGAGTTAAAGTGCACTTTTTGTTGTAGAAAGATAGAAGCAACCTTAACACTGTGCTTATGACAGTTTTATCTCTGTATATTCAGATTCTGTATAAAATAATCAAATGCTTTAGATTTAGCTCAGCTAAGCATATGGGGCATCCTGGGAATTTTGGGGCATTTCTTTATCTGCATCTTGCGAAGTTTCATTTCATGTTTTTATTAGGAATTTCCAGTATTTTCCCAGTCAGGAGACTTTTGGTTTTGTACAAAAAAACCCAAAAAACCAAAAAAAAAAAAAAAAAANAAAAAAAAAAACCCAAAAAAAAACAAAAACCCAAAAAAACAACAACTTCTGTGCAAAGGCAGGAAAGAAACTGTAATTTTCTATAATAACAAAAAATTGAAGACTGTGTCAGTGTGTTCTGTAAGGGAAGCCATGTTCACTCTTCGTCTAGCTCAATGTGTAACCAGCATCTTGGTGGGAATCTGAGGGTGAAAGATTGGTGGTTTTCTGTCATATAATTTTACTGAGTGTTATTAAAGTAATTGCAGTCAAAATGAATACAAGAGAAATAGTCTTCAGTAACGATGAGCAAGACTTGGACTTTTTCTGGATTTTGTAGGGTTTTCTTCATAGAAAGATTAGTACTGAGATTTCCATAATACAAATTCAAATGCCTTTGTCTTCTTCTTGCAGGGTGCTACATTAAATTAGGTTTTTTCAAGCCATCTTTTTAGTAATCACTTTCATATCACTTTTTAATTTATTATCACATGCTCCAAATAATTTTACTTCTCCAAATAATCACATTTCTTCAGATAATTAATGAAGTTATTCACATAACTCCAAATAAATTACTTTATCTGTAGCTGTACTACCAGAAAAGAAGTCATTGTAAGTCATTAATTGCTTAATGTTTCACGGAAAATAAAAACTATGTAAGGAAAGAAAATACATAGTTCATGTTGCACAATCAAAAATTACTAAATTGCCTTATGGTTTCCAGAAGTTAAAATATCTTTCCAGCTTAGCTGGAAAACTACTTTCACATAAACAATGGCTAAATAAGACACTGGTACAGACTACAAGCAAAGAGTTCTTGCAGTTGTCTCTTTACACATTTTCCAACATGTTTTGCCTTCCCCAGCTATGAGATAACTAAACACCAATTCTGACATAATAGAACTTTGAACTGATTTGTGACTCATCCCTGCATTAAAGACAAAGGGTGTTTTCCTCATCTCCCTGCCCACCTTCCATAGGATACAGCTGAGAAATTCTATTTAACATCAACTGAAATCACTGAAAGCTGTTTGGATAAATTCAGTAGGAGCTGGATCCAGCAGGTTTTGTCTTTGAACTATGCTCTGAAAAGAAGAATTTTTTTTTCCTTTGCCTTTGCATTAAATGAGATATCACCTATTAATTTTCCACAATCAAAGCAATGAGAGTATTAGCATCAAAAGAAATCGACAAATAATAAGTGATTCTTCTTCAAACTGACTTCCTTTACACCTAATCTTCTGTAAGGCAATACTGCCTGTACATGCTAGAATAGTAGACAAGTCTTTGCAAGATTGTAGCCTGATCTCGCAGTTTTGTTATCTGTATTCTAAAATATTATTTATGATATATTGTGCAAAAATTAAGCCTAATCTGAATTGTTTACACATTCCATTGATGTTGCACAGATTAGTGTTTGTTATTTATTAAGGGTATTTTTCTTAAAATTGTTAATATATATGTTAATTATTTCCTGTAATGTTTCATATCCTTAATCTGCATACACTGCTCTTCATACCTACAGTTTCATTAACAAAGTGGGGAGAGAATGTGTTTCTACCTGCATACAGCTTTTTAATCAGTAGCTCCTCTCTCCTTTAACTTGTCTAATATGGCTTATTTATTAATAATCCTTTACAGAAAAAACAGAGAACGAAGGATCTGTCCCAGCTATTTCATTCATACAGTCCATATGATCATAAGGTAAGAAAAAATATATTGTGTTCATTTTTAAGAAAAATTCCAAACATTGTGGTAAACTCATGTTTAATGCAAAATTGAGGAGAAATTATAAAATTGAAAGCACTGAGTATGTTACTTAAATTCTGCTGTCACATAAATGTTTCTTTGTTTCTTTAAGCCAAGCTTGCAAACGTGCATTTTCTGATTTGTGAAACCAATGACTCACATTAACCTCATAGAAGTATAATTTATAGACTGGCACTAAATCCTGCAAAGTGACCACATGTGGTATTGGATTCCCTTCTTTTTTCTCTCTGTGTTTAGGAACTGTGTTACCCTGGAGCACGTTGCTTAGCCTATTGTATCGATTAGGCGCTGAGATACATGATACTAATGAATTGTCGATTGATCACAAAAGCATCATTCGAAGAGGCTGCTGTGTGAGCAGCCTGGTGGTTGTCTGGGGGAAGACATAGAAACACACATCATTATAACTTGTTTGTAACATCTGGGGGGAAAAAAAAAGGTCCTTTCTATTTTCAATGTGAAATAAAAAAAAAATAAAGTTGTTACAAGAAAATTTTAGAGAACCAAGAGACAGAGATCACAGTATTTCTGTGCTATAGCTATGTCATGGGGTTCTTCTAGATGTTACCCAAAAGAGAACGTTATGGAGCAGATTGAAGGAATAGGTTTTCAAATATTTTCATGGAGTTCCTCGTATCTTTGATGCCTCTGTGGGCATTTTCTTTTAAGAAATGCACAAAACCCTTAACAATTTGTCAGCAGTATGAGATATCTGTTTCTGCTGCCTGTGTTTTGAGAAGTGTGAACGATTTTGCAAGTATCCATTAAAACGAAAAATTTAAAACATTTCTGTGGTTGCTGTTTAGACATTGCAAAGGAAAGTTCTGAACTCTATACCTTTTTTCCTGGCCATGTACCAAATACATTGGAAAAAACAGCTAGATTTATGTTTGGGAGAAGAAGGTGGCAGAAGTATTTATGTGCATCTATCTCTTTGTATGAACACATGCACATATATGCAATATATGCGTAACTACACATATATGAGAAATTAATGGATTCAATTTCTCAGGCAGGTTATTGCTGTGAGAGTTCTGTAGTTGCTAGTCACTTGTAAATTTAGTTTAAAAAAACATTGTAAAACAGCAGTTATATTCTATAGCATTAATAATTGTACCTAATTTCAGGTTAAATTCATCTCTGCTTAGTACTTCTTTTGTAAATAGTCTCACATTGTTTACAAAGATTGGTAAAGCTGATATTAATGGCCTGTGAAAATGGCCTCAATGGATATAAATGAAGAATAAAAAAAACTAGTGTAAGATTTTGAATGGAATCATTGCTCCTTTGAATTGAAGCATTTTTATGTAAATGTAATAGTAAGTCAATCTAATAAGGAGATGCAACTGATGAATGAGAAACTTTGTTATTCCTCTCTATGTCTTAATTCTCCTGTAAAAAGCACGTTTTATTCATAGTACAAGGAAATTCCATTATTCTTTTATTAGCACTTTTAATGGAGCTTGGCCATTTGTAACTCCTGCTGTCTTCCTGCTCATATCCTTTGTGGAATTATATCAAAGTATTCTCAAATGATTTTGGCTGCAGTTGTGAGGACTTCTGCACTCTTTACAGATTAGTCATCATACAGTGTGGAATTGAATGTAAATGCTTAAATAAATTTGCTTTTGATCTTTGTTTTAGGACCTTTAATATATTATTAAAAGTAACACAATTGTTTGATGGGTGATTTTTGTACCTTCACTCTTTTGGTGCTTCCAAGCACATTCTGTGTATATATCTGAGAGTACAAGTGCAGGGAAAAGACAAGTGAAAGTTTGTATTAAAGTTATGGCCTTTCCTTATTTTCCATTTGACAGTAAAAGTTTTCCTTCTCCTAACTACTTCCTATTTGTGGGCTGCAACAAGCTCACTGCAGATTTCTTGCTCTGTACTTTTTAATTTCTACCTCAGCTTCCAATTTTACAAGTGTTGCAGTCTAGGGGAGGGCTTTTAATTTTTGTATAAAATCTAACATTAGTTGGGAATTCAGTTACTTCTAGTGAAGCTGTGTATTAGTTTTGCTCTAGTTCTGTTTTGTTTGATTTACATGGCCAAAGGATTTGAGGGCAGGGTAGCACATGTTTTTTTCTGTTTTGTAGATTATTTTCAGGAAATATAAAAAGGAGATTTCACAATGACTTTGTGAAAGCATTGGTGATGTAGGATCATGACATGAGTGGTTGGAATTAGTGGCTTCCAGAATTATTACTTTGTTGATGAAAATATTTTTCTCTGAGAACCTTTCTAAAATAGAAGAAAAACTTAAGGTTAAGTTGGTGCTTAGTAGTAGTAGTTTAAACAGATGTGAAAATCTCATTACTACAGTGGCTGAAATGGGACTTGCTACAAAGATTTGACAGTACTTCATCTTTTTAGGATGGGATATCTCATAGCAAGGATTAAAATCAATCAAAAAATTCAGACAGTGTTCATTCTTCCATGCTGGCGCTTTCACTCACTAAACCAGAAAGTGAGATTTTGATGGAGTAGCTATACTAATCTTATTAACCTTGTTACTATTTGTGCATGGTCAGGAGGTCAATAGCTCTTGGAAAGAGTAACTGTTCCCCTGAAAATGTTACCTCAATATATATTTACCCATCTGGTATAACTTAGAGCATCCTGAAAGGCAGTTCAGTGCTTGTGGTTCTTCTTTCCCAGATGAAAACCCAGTGCTTTTTTAGAGGTGGAAACAAGGATTTACTTTCCCTTCCATTTCAAGGTGTTGAGTCTTATCTTTTATCCAATGAGGCCTTAATTCAGCAGCAGAGGAGGCAGAGCTTTTACATTCCTCCTGCAGAAGGGATGGAAAAGCAGGAGATACTCAGCTGATATTAGGGGAGAATTAGCTGAGCTCCTGTATTCTTTGATTCTTAAACAAGTATAAATTACTATCTGGTTGCCCTTCTGCCCTTCTCATTGTTCAGATGAAACCATTCAACAGCAAATTCAAAAATTTCCCATTGGTTATATACTTCTCCCATCAAGGCAGATTTGATGTTGCTCTCTTTAACCTAGTTTTACTATAGTGCTTCACAGAGCCTCTGACTACAGAATCTGTGGATCTTTCAGATACTGTGCCACAGACAAAGCTCATTTTAGCATCAGTCTTGAATGCCTAGAAAATATATTGAATTCTTGATGTCAGACACATACAAAGAACTCCCTTTTCTCCTTTTCTTCTGTTGCTCTTAAAATAAGTATCTTCTAAAATTCATTCTTTCCAGAACTAGATAATTACTTAGGGAATATCTTGAGCAATATCTTGTTCCAGTTGTGTGATTGCCATTTGTTCAAACTTATTTTGGTTAGCATGTGTAAAAATACATGGCACTCTCTTTGCAGATGAAGCCATTCCTGTTCTGAAATACTTGCTTTTTCATGTTCATGTAGAGTAAAAATAGGTATGGTCTGGCTTTCTTAAGAGTCAAGTTCTGATTGCTGTGTAACTTTTCTCTAGTTAGCCATAGAATAGCACTTCCAGTTTTATATACAGTTAATCTTTTTCTAGGACTATCAGAAAAAGATGATAAAATTGACATCCTCATAAAGCTGTAACAATAGCAGCTTTAGTGTTTTTTAAAATGTCAAAGAAGATCATTGAGAAATTATATTCTGGCCAGTTTTCTGCAAGTGCATTTAATAAAAGATTATGTTTGCACACAAGTAATTTCTGCTGAATGTTTTTTGTGTGTACACTGTGAGGTTTCACTTTTCATACAGTAAGAATTTTATTCTGTCTGAAGTAGCTCAGAAATAATGGAATTGTAGCTCTCTCTGAATGACCCCTGTTCTTTAAAATTTGCAACCCAGTTTTTTTTTTAAAGCTGGTAAAGTAGTTGTTATAATAGTTCACCTGGTCAAAACAAAAGGTTTTATAAGCTTAATAGGATGTTTCAGGATCCAGTATGCACCTAATGGCCAAATTCAGAAGTGCAGAGCCCTAGTTCCTTTTCTTTTGGTCAGATGAGTTTAAGTATTCAGTTTAGCCCTGGAGTAGTTGATTGAACCTATAATCCTCAATTTTTGCTCTGAAGAAGAACGTTTTTATATATTGTAAGCACAGTATATCAGAACTACTACACATTTTGCTGATTTGCTTTCTTGGGAGGATACCCAGGGATACCTTAGGCCATGTCCATACATGCCTCTGGCAGCATGGGGCTGTTACAGTGAGAAATCCTCAGAGAGCTGTGCTTAAAACTCAGCTCCCTATTCACTTCTGCCTTTTGCAGCCCGAATCTCTTGCTGTACAATAGGGCATGATCTATGAAAAAATAAAGTAATGTCTTATAGCTTTAGAGATTTATTTTTGCATATACTGTGTCCAGCCCAATAAGAAATGTAGACAAGCCTCATGTGATTTGAAGAGTTTTTTGAGAGATTTTCTCCCAAATGGAAGGTGTGCTCAGGATTAAAAAAATTACTTGCTCTTTCAAAATGTGCTGTAATTGATGCAATTCTGCTAAAATAATTGTAAAATCTTTATGCCTCATGCTTCTAATGTTATTTATTCATATGTTCTGGAAATGTTAAAACACTGATATGCTGCTTTCTATCATTTTTCTCCCATGTACAGGGACCTCCTTCACAATCCAATTTGAACAAAAGAAATTCTGATGTCTGTTGAAAGAAAATAGACATCACACTCTAACTAAAACGCTTTATATTTACTAACTTTCTAATGGCAGACATCACCACACTACTCTTGTGAATTAGGTCCTAAAACTATTTTTTTTGAGGATGTGTCCGCACTGTGGGACAATGTGTTTCATAAGAGGAGATGTAAATTGACATGTTGGACCCTTGTAGAGTTGGAAGTGTTGCTATGAGAGTAGCTGGTGAAGGGCTAAAATGCAGTTGAAACACTAAACATGTGGCAGGTGAGATTAACATCCTTCTGTGCGCATAGTTCCAGATCTCTCAGACTT